CTATAGCTGAGAACATGCTATGCCTCTGGTGATGTGGGGTGGCATGTAAAGAGAAGACTAAACTGTAAGGGGATACAGGTTTGTGTCCGTTTCTCATTCTTCTTCCACAGGGCTTGCAACTGCAGACAGGCACAAAATTCTACAGTGCCAAGTTTTCCAAAATGCCATATAAATTTGTAGCTGTTCTTTTGGGCAAACCAGCCCACTAGTTAAATTGCTGGCTGACCAATCAGTGCTTGCAAGGTCTGTTTACACATGTAAATCTGGCTTTCTCTGTATGGGCACGTACATTTCCTTATGGAAAATGTAGTTTCTTGTTTTTCTTATATAAGAAAAGGGCTTTTGCCCTAAGAATTTGGGTTTTTCCCCTAATGCTTCATTAATTTTTAAATGATAAGCGTAATTCAACAAAGGAGGTAATTCTCAAGTCATTTGTTTTTCTCTCCTCATTTTGCTTTTTTCTTCTTGTTTTTTCTCTTAGCAACTTTTGAATCGAATCATCTTATACATATAAATGTTACTCAGTTGTGTCCCTCTTCTGCCTTCTAAACATGTAATTACTTAGTCCAGCTGATTTCCACATTTCTACATAAGCATATACTTAAATACAGGGACCCCAATCCAGAAAATATGCTTTGTTGAATTCAAAACTTATTTGTGAGAAAAACAGATATTCCACTGAGGATTTGTATGCAACACTTTGTGGACTGATGCCAAGCCAGCCAAGTTCTCTTGGAAAATGAGTGCATTGCTTCAGCCGTGCATCATCCACCTTCCAGTTCTCAGGGCAGGTTAGACAGTCACCAACATACTCCTTAAATTCCTTCTGCCTCAGTTCATGAACTAAATTACGTGCTTTGAAAGGGCAACATTTCACCATGTTGCTAAAAAGACCTGGGTAAAAAATAATTCTAGTTTCCAGAGTTAAGTATTTAACCTGATGAATATCATTGGTAGAAAATGTCTCTCGTCTTTAGCCTTAAACTGAAATCAGTACTTTGGGTTTTCTAAGTGGAGTTAGCCATAAATTGGTTGGAAATTATTAGAAGATTATATGGCTGAATACAAAGATGCGCACTTAACATAAAGCTGACATTTGCTTCACATTCTAGGTAATATTTTGCCACTTACCAACTCCAGCAGCACTCCAATTTTGCCTGACTTTTTTAACCTGAGCTCTGACAGAGGAGCAATTATGTGTTAGAAATGAACATGGTTGAAGAAAGGTTAGTTATTTTGGAAGGAAAGTGGGTTCACATTTTTTTACAAATATTCTAATATTTTTAGGTTTGCAGTATAGAAGACTCCAAGCATGGCTTTTATATCCTCCACCTCTATGAAGAGTTGGGTCCATGAACCTCAGTCAATTATATAAAGGACCAAAGTATTTGCTTTTATAGATCTCCTGTAAAGGTAATAGCTAGTGTGGGAATAAGAGAGGGATGAGGTAGGGCAGGTAGACCTGGAGCTGGTTCCACCCTTGGTTATAATCCAGGTGACTGACTTGGAACAGGGCAGCTAAAATGGCAGACTCCAGTCCAGCTGGGAGTGGGGTACGTTTTGCCTGGATATCACCTAAGTACCAGATAGATGGGTTTCGCCAGTGCTTTTGCAAAGTATCTTCTGCTTCTGCTGTTCTCCATGCTGTGGCCCAGAGAGCCACTGTAGCCTCCTGCTGTGGGGTGCTGCAGTGTTGGGCAAGCCTGGGAGAGCTGGAGTTGGTGTATTTGTTCCTGCCAAATGAAGGTGGGATCTGGGTAAATATGAACGGAGTAGCCCCACTGCCGGGGTATGGAGGAAATGCATCCCATTTAGCATTGCAGTGATTCACACCAGTGCATCACAGAACAGCTTCAAAAAGAGACAGGAAACCGTACAGCCATGTACCCCAGAAGTACCACTGTAAGTGTTCAGTGGAAGAAGCGAAATGTGGGATAAAACTAGTATACAACACTTATCTTTTCCACTAGCCCTGACAAAACCAAAACCAGACAACTAGATGAAGTGAGGGTCATCCTTGAACAAATAAAAACATTATTGATTTAGAAAATGTATTTTTAAAACTCTTGTGTTGAAATAGCTCAGATGTCACGTACAGTCAGGTGGAGAAGAAGGGACACTTGTACAAATCGAAGTGCCCAGAGTGCTGCTGTTTTGCACCATTCATTGGTGACTGTAGTATCCACTGTGTAAAAGTTTGATCCAATCAGTGATAGAAGGATGTAAATTCTTAATCCCTTGTCACAGCTACAGATTTTCTGTCATCTGAGGATCATGCAGTAGTCCCATTAATACTAATGTGAATTCTATTTCTGGTTTTGCCAGCAACCAAACAGCACCTTGTGTCTTTTCAGGTTGTGATGAGAAAGTAGTGAAAGTGAATGCAAACTGAAAACCTCTAAAAAAAGCACTAGTGTCTGAGCAAGCATCCATTTATCAAACCATTTTGTACCTTGCAAAAAATGTACACATGACTAAGGTTTATTTTAGTGACTCTTACTTCATGGAGGTACCAAGGTATAAATATTCCCATGATCATTTGCTTGGAATCTGTGTCCTTTTTTCTTTAATGGAATGTAAAGCTTTTTCATTATAGAATAGTAAAGTATTTCACTGATAATTTTGTTGGAGGAGGTTAACTGAATAGAAGGATTTTCTTTCTTTGCCAGAAATCATAACATTTTTCATACATGGATTTTAATTAATAAATTTCTATCATGCTGAAGATTTTGCGTGATAATGATAGCCTTTTCTGAAAATGTTGACTACACAGTTTGACTTAATGTAGTGGAAGTAGGGAACTTCAATTGTTAAATGTAATTTAGTAGCAACATTAGATGGGTAGGGCAGAAATTAAAGAAAAAGTGCAGGAGCACTTTCTTCTACTTCAGTAATCTGCAGCTAACAAGTTAATCCTTTGATCCTGCAGATCTCAGAAGCTGTTAGATGTCAAAACCTGATGAAAGTCTCCAGGCAGTCGCAGGGTTTTCCCGTCTCTTTCGACTCTGACTCACCAAGCCTAACCTTAAACAAGTATGATCATTATGGCACAGGAAGTGCACTTTATTTGGCCTTTAGGACTTCCTAAAGAAATGGTTATAGTTGCATGTGAAATAATTACATTAAAATGTGTATTTTTGGCTTAAGCCTATGACTGCTCTGCGTGTGTAGGAGTTGCCCCAAGGAAGTTAGTCCATATCTGACAGTAAAAGTGCCAAAAATATAGTGCTCCAAGTGTTTAGCACTCTGTCTCTTAATCTCAGGGTGTTTCTGTGAATGCTCAGAGGCACTTTTGTGGGGAAGACCTCTTGCTCTTACCCTCACCCCCTCTATTTGGCAGCAAGGCAGGAGAATGGCTTTCTCTTGGTCATGCCTGCGATACAGTGAAAACCAGCTGCCAGCTTTCTAAGATTTGCATGCAGAAAGAGGATTGATATTCGGGGATGCTGTGGTGCGACGGTGGCATTCAGCCACTCCTGGTGGGAGCTGTGGCACTGCTTCCAGAAGGGCACGTTTGTCAGAGTGTCCCCCCGCCATCCCACCATGGCTTGACCATACCTCCCGTGCCCACTGCAGTCATTGGCTTGAGAATGTAGTTTGCCTGCAGATACCTTCTTGAAACAGGAGGGGATGGGAGAAAAGAAAGATGTGAGCAGGCTGTGGTTTGCATTAATGTGGTTACTTTAACCTGTGGCCATGGCCCATAGGTTGAATGTCGTTGCTATTCAAGAATTGCAGAGCAGGGGTGAGGGACAACCTGCAAAGTGCTGGGGTGTGGAGAGAGAGCGCTTAGCTCTAGTGCAGGAATACGTGGTGCTTCAGGTGCGATTGACTAGGCTTTTTCACCTGAAGGAGAGCATTTTGATGGAAGCAGGTCTGTTGCAAAAGCACTTTCCTAGTCAGAACACAAATGGGGCAGAGAAGACTTCAGCTGGTGGTGTGATTACCACCAAAAATCCCATCTTACTTCTAATGTACTGCTTCTGAGATCTCACTGCGTACCTCAAGGTAGTCAAAAGACAGTTTGCAATAATAGCTCAGTTTCATGACTCCCACTAATGTTACCAACCCTCTCTGAACATTAACAATCTGCATCTGTCTGTTGTGAAAGCAAGTGCCTTTGCCCCCGCCACGCATAATTACAGAGGTTATGTCCTTTTCAGGGAGTTTGTGTGTATGTGTGTGAGCTAAAGTAAAAACAACCCTGAGTTTGATAACTCTGCTGATAATGTGAAGTTTTGGCTGCATTAAGATCAGATTATGAAGAGATCAGAAGACAGCTGTTGCTCTGTGGGAGGGATCATCCCATGGTTGCAGGCTAGCCTGGGACACTCGGCTCCCACTAGGTTGTCTGCTTAATCTCTGCCAGATCACTTTATCTCTTTGGCTACATATAAACTGGGACATCTAAACTACTTGGCACTTTTTCAAACACTTACTTGGGAGTTTACCCCAGATCCCATAGTAACGTGGGTTTTACTGACTTTTTCTGCCACGTTCTGGTTTTCTTGGAAATGAAACTCTGATGTGGGATCAGATAGGAAACACAAGAGCTCTAGCCAGGTCCTTTGTGCAGTGATGCAGCTGAGGGGGCAGGACCTCAGGAAATGTATCTCCAAGTCAGTTTATTTTTTATGTTTCTGCTCCTAGTCTGTAAAACAGGGGTAACAGCACTACAAACTCCAAAGCTTGTGTTATGACAAGAAGAAGGCATTAAGGATAGCTTGGCCTGGTAGATCAATGATGACAATAATTTCTGGTCAGTTGGTTCAGACCGTTTTACTAGCTGAGACAAATTAGACCATAACATGAGGGTATCTGTCTTCCTGCAGCCTAACAACAGACACCTACAGAAGACGGTAGGAAAGGTGCAAGTGTATGTGACACCTCCCCACTCTCCTGTCTGCCAGCAATTTGCACCTCAGGGCCTTCCTGATACAGAGGTGTTCTCTTGTATTGAGGAGCGCTTTTGTGATTTTTTTTTCTGTGCTTTTGCCCAGTTTTGGAACTCATGCACACTGGAGTTGATGATACTGGGAGCAGTGGAGGCCCAGGAACAAACAGGTTTACGTTTGCAGTAGTCAAAGAACTAATGTACATCCCCACCTGTGTTTTCAGTAGTTTCCGGCAGTACCACAGAAAATTAAAAGAAAAAAAAAGTAAGCCCTGGGCAAAAGAGCCTTTGGTCTCTACTCAGTAAGATGCAGCAAGTGAGACCAAGCAAACATCTGGGAACTGTTACATTGGAAGCACTCCTGCCTCAGGACAAGAACATTTACTTTGAATACCCAGACCCAGAGATGAAGTCTTGTACCTCAGCAGTTCACCAAGCTTGTCAGATCCTTACTATAACATACCTATTTTCAGAAATTCACTGTGATGGCGCTTGAGTTGCCTTTTAGTCTTGAGTTCGTAATGGTTGAATTACTGCTATATAGCCTTTCTTTATCTGTCAGTCTGGGTGGATTTTTAAGGAACAAAATGACATTACTCTAGCCTAATCTTCTCTGAGGCGGTTGCAAGGCCATGTGGCTAGAGCAGAAGCAATCAATGCCAAATATTCAGACTGCAGTAGGGTCTTTAATTCTGTTTCTGCTTATTTCCTGTAGGCAAAGTAGAGATGTGTAGAGTGGATGGGTTTGTTGTAAGTATTTTACAAGGACCATTTGCAGGCTGCTCCCAGAGGATAATTTTTGTGGTCTCCTTGTCCCATCAAAGGTTGTACGGAAAGGATGCAAGGTGCACTTGGTCTTCAGCACTGTTTCATTGGTGATCCAAATGGCATAATTGTACTGGGTCTGGCTTTCTTCATAGCCGCCCATACCCTGCCATGTTTCGGATTTGTGACTAAAACAGTGTTAATGACACACCAGTGTTTTGGCTGTTGGTGAGCTGGACTTGCACAGTGTCAAGGCTTTCTCTTTTTCCCACTCTGTCCCCCCAGCAGCTAGGTCTAGGGTAGACAAGAGGCTAGGAGGGGACACAACAGAGACAGCTTACCCAGACTAACTAAGAGGGTATTCCCTTCCCTGTGATATCACGCTCAGCAATAAAAACTAAAGGGAGAGGCTTTTTGGGGGGAGTGGGCATTGCGCAGACACTGTCTGGGAATTGGTCTCCTTGTAGGAGGTAGCGAGTGATTGCCTTTGCATCACTTGTCGGTTGAGTTTCTTTTTGCTCCTCAGTTATTAAACTGTCTTTTTCTTGAGTCATGGGTTTTCTTGCTTTTGCTCTTCCTATGGTCTTCCCTGTCTCTCTGAGGTGGGGAGTGAGCAAGTGGCTGTGAGGTACTTACGTGCTGACCAGGGTCAACCCACCACAGTAACAGAGAATAAGATTACGAAAATAGCAGAAAATGCAAAGTTTGGTGATATTAAAAGTGTGTCTGGATGCAATTTATGTCTCTATGGTAGTTGGAGACGATTGTATGGTTTCTTTCAGCACTATGTAATCTCCTTGGTTAAATGAAGAAGTAAGACTGTAATGACATGAAGAATTATGTCTCCTTCCTCAGCTATCCTAGGCTATAAAGAGCTGTCTTAGTTAAGTTAGGCTCAGCTGCATCATCTGTTTTTGCTGTGGATGAAGAGTATATGCAGATGATGACAGCGGCTCAGCTGTCATCTGATGACTTTGACTGTCTCAGACTCTGTCCTCTGGGTCTCACTGCCTCCCTGCATTCATCCGATGCTATGAGATATCCCTGACACTTGAGCAGTCTCACAGGAAGAGAATAATCCACTACCACGGCAGGTTGGATTCACAGTCAGCATTGATGTAGCTCTCCTGATGTGGCTGGATGTGAAGCTGACCCCATTATCTTTAACATTTCCCGCCTGCCTTGTGGAGTAACACACCACAGCACTGCATGAATGCAGTGTTTCTGGGGTACTTTTTCATTCATGCAACTTTAGGAGATCTTTAATTCAGCATGGGTTTTATAACTGTTAGCTGCAGATGTGGCAATTTCCTTTGCAGATTAAGGAGAGATGCCGTAACATAAATGACTGACTGGGTGTCACTGCTGTGTTGTGACAGGCTATCCTTTAAGAAGTAGTGATTGATGAGATATATAAAACCAAGCCATTATATGTGCTGTTTATATTGAAACAGTACTTACAATGTGGGCTGTGAGTCAAAGCACTGATTACTTACACAGTGCTATAATAAGTGGTGGTGGGTGCAGCGAACAAGCTACTAGAGTAAGTGTTTCTTTCGGAGCTTCAAACAGCATTGTCTCTTTATTTCCAGCCTGCATCTAGCCATAATAAAAGGATCTACCCTGTGCATTGCCATGAGATTTCACTGCAGGCTGCTAGGAACTCTTTGATACAGACACCAATATTAAAACCAGTCTCTGAAACAGACTGGTGACCCTTTCTTTTTCCTTTCTTTTTCCCCTTGACTGCAGTTCGAGGAAATCTCAGTGCTCTGTCGGCAGCATTTTTCATGGCAGCAGAAGCCTCCAAAGGCCTCAGCTGCAGAACCCTGCTTCTCTGTGCTTTGCAGAGGGTTTGAGGACCCCCCTGAACAGGTTTCACTGAGTGCTGTGGATGCAGCAGATGTCTTGCAGTGAAGACACAGGATCTGGTCCCAGGGAAAATAATCTCAGCCCTGTTTCTGACCTGCCAGCAAGTCCTGGGGCAGGTTACTTGCTGTGCCTCTGTCTGCAGCTGTGGTTTGGGCTGAACTCTTTTCAGGGTCACTCTCTAGATGGGTGGAAGGGGAAGCTGCCCAGCTGTGCACCAGCATTTCTGCGCTGCATGAAACATTGCAGGTGGGCTAGAGCCACCTTCCTTCCCCTGCTACCTCCCCCGTTAACAGGCTTAGAGGGAAGAGTGGGCATGAGGAGCAAGCGTCTGAGCACTGCTGCAAAGCATGGGTGTGCTGCATGGCCTGGCATGAGCAGAAGGGCAGTGGGAACTTCACCTGGTCTCATACTACTTTGTGGTGTGGTGTGTATGTTGGGTGAGAAACGCCTGGCAAGTGTTACTATGGCACTGCTGGAAGAACACCAAAATGTATGGGGTTTGCAATGAGACAGAACAAAAAAGAACTTGCTTTTTTTGCCCTCTTCTGCTTAGTAAGTGAAAGAGAGAGAAAAGAATGTTCCATTCACAATTACAGAGAACAGTCAAATCATTGAATTTTTCCTTCTCTGCATTTGCTGTTCATTTTCTGAAACTTTTAAGCTTTGACACATTCATAATGACAGTTCCACCTATGTGCTTGTAAGCTGTATCCTTGTAAAGACAGTTTGCATATGCCATGAAAACATACCTTAAGTATGTTATATACATACCTTAAGTAAATATATACCACTTACATGTAAAAAGCTTATCCTTTTTATGCTCATCTTATGATCAGCCTGAAAATCATCTGTCAGTAATAACCATCGTAGCAGTAGCGTCGGAATATTGTGGTTTGGTATGTCACTGATTCTAAGGACCTTTGTGTATAGCCTTATAGAGCAGTATAAAGTTGTTACCAGAATTTGATTCTCTGCAAGATGAAAAGAAATGGTCACAATTGTACTTCCACTTTCAAGGTGCAGCTTGATTATGTGGAGACTGTATAATCATGTTTTATTTCCATGTCTTCTGATGTGAACATATTAACTATTAATTTTATTCTTGTACATTTGTAAGTTACACATTGCTGTGCAGTAGTTTCACCTGCCAACTCATTTGTTAGGATGTGCTGCATTATTTTTTACTGTACATTTCTGTCTATATTTAGCTCTTTGAAAATGTGTCTGATTAAAGATATTTTTTACTGTCATAAGTAGTTATTTTTGTAGAAAATAATTGGAACCAGTACAACCTCTGGTTTCACAAATGAAGCAATTCAGAATGGGCTTATTACTCGGATTAGGCCCTACACATAGCGTTAGGACCCACAGAAAAACCTTCTACCTTGCATTTGTTCTAAAAAGCAGATTGCCTCCAATCCCACTGTTTTCCACAAATCTCCATGCACAAAACTGTGCCCCAGTGTCATGAGGAGCTCACTTTGCTTTTGTGCCATGCTGTAGTACATCATTTGTGAAACTGAAGTTGGCTTTTCAGTCATGTGACAGGTATGTAATGATGTTTTCCAGTGCTCTTTGTGAAATTGATTTTAATTTTTTTTTCCTTTTTTTTTCCTTTTTAAGGAAATTTGTTTTAGGGAAAAGTGTGTCACACAAACTCACTTCTGCTTTCTTTTGTCTTTCCCCATCTCCCTCCTTCAGACCAAGATGAGAGAGCAGCAGAGCTCAGCAGGGAGCAGAACGAGAAGACCATTCGCAGCACGCAGACGGCTCTCCGCAATTTCCGAGAGTTCCTCATCTCCAAGTACCCCTCTGAGACCAGGGAGATCTATGTCATCCCCTGCAAAGAGCTTGATGCCTACCTTGCTTCCTTCTTTGTGGACGCCAGACAAAAGGATGGGTCTGAATATGAGCCAAACAGTCTGGCCAACTATCAGTGTGGGCTGGAGCGTTATCTCAAAGAGCACAGGTATGGGTACAGTATTACGAGGGATAAGGAGTTCAAGAGGTCCCAGGAAGCTCTAAAGCAAAAGCAGATGGAGCTGAGGTGTAAAGGAAAAGGAAACAAACCACACAAATCCATGAAGCTCACCTTTGCTGATGAGCTTATCCTGCGCAAGAGAGGCTTGTTGAGCAGGTACAATCCTGAAGGGCTGCTGAACCTTGTCTGGCTGAACAACACTAAGGCATTTGGACACTGCACAGGTTTCCATGGGTCCACCCTCAAGTGGGGAGACATCCGGCTACGGGTGACAGAGACTGGCTTGGAGTACCTGGAGTGGATGGGGCCAGACAACGGGGACGTCAACGCCAAGAGCAAGAGGGGTGGGACGGACTCCCGGGTGTACGCGACCCAGCACTCCCCACAGACCTGCCCCGTGCAGGACTACAAGGAGTACGCCCAGAGGAGGCCGCCGGCCATGCGCTATGAGGACGCGCCTTTTTACCTCTCCATCAAACCCGTCGTCAATCTGGCCGCGCTTCACTGGTACAATTGCCAAGCCCTGGGGAAAAACAAGCTTGCCAAGATGGTAAAGACAATGTGCGAGAAAGGCAACATCCCAGGCAGGAAGACCAACTTCAGTGTCTACCAGAGCTGCAGCACCCTCTCAGAAGCGCAGAGCAACCAGCTGGTGCTGATCTGCAATAACTTGAGCCAGCAGGCTGCCCAGTCCATGGCGAGCCACTCCAATACTGGCAACTTCATAGTGTCAGCGTCCTATGACTCTTCCTCTGACACGGCTTGAAAGCTGGATATCGCCTGAACACTGTTTTCTTTTCCTTTTTGTTTCAAGCATTGAATTTGTGCCCAATAATACGCATCAACTGTGATTGTACACTGTCCCCCCATAGCCCTCTCTCCAGTGTTAATTCACTTTATAAAAATATATAAATATATAATATATTTTTCTTTTTACAGATAAGTCAATACAAATAGTTTAGTATTACTAACATGGTATTTATAGTGTTGATACATAAATGAAAGGTACTTATGGGTTATAATATAAATGCAGATTTTAAAAGGACAGAAATGGTTCTCAGGCAACAGAAGATAGACTGGAAATACCATTTTTAACATGCCCACACCAGTGAGTGTAAACCCCTAGGGAGGCTTACGTAGCAGTTCCATTTTAAAGCATTTTTTCAACTTCTTATTTTAACGTGACCTCCCAGAGTGGAGGAGACAAACTTATCACTGGCTGCTGCTTCTTACCTGCTGGCTTATTTTTGATCAGCAAGAGGAAGAAATAAGAGATACATCAATGTAATGTTATGAAACCATTTACAACAATTTTTGTCTGTTTTTTATTTTGTTTCCTGAGGCTCATTTGTGCCAGATGGGGAAAAAATCCTGAAGTCAGCTAAAGGCGGTTTTTAACTTTTATTTTTGTTGATTATTTTCTGTGATCAAAATGTTGCTGGTCTTCACACTAAAAAGTATTGTTTTCAACAATATGCAAAAGTATAATGGCAAAACCACTGTCATACACATAATTTTAACTGTTTAAACACGGGTTCTTAGTATTTTGTCACTGTGTATACTTAATGTAAAATCTACTGACTTAGAGCCACTCTTTCAGTATTCTGGGGAATGCAACAGTGCAGAAAAATCCACAATCTTATCCCAAACTGTACAGAAAAAAATGTGTCAAATATGTCCTAAGCCATCATTTGAAACCCACAAAAAAATAGCATAGAGAGTGCAATGAGAATTTCGTATTGACTACAGAAAATTAAAAAGCTGGGAAGTTTTAAGTGCTGGAAAAGAAGTTTAAGTCAGCTACGCATAATCTGTTTCCATTGCAAACAATGGAAAATGTGCATGTGAATCTGAAGGCAGAATTTGGTCCTTAAAGCCTTGAAATAATAAGTGTTACTGTTCCAACATTTGACTTTGCAAAGTAATTGTTCTTCTTCTCTAAGTATGAGGAAAGCACTAACAAATTCAGTATTTCAGTGGACAGTTATAGTTCTTGACCTTTAAAATGATGAATGGTACTTCTGAAGTAATTCAGCTTAGTTTATGTTCCTCTAGGACATCCTAGGGCCATGATGAGGCTTTGGACAAGTCAGGTGGGGTGATCTAATGGCCACGGAACCCAATGAAAGGGTCAACCTCAGCTGACTTCCCATGTGTGTTGGATCAAACTGTTACTGAGGGGCTTTTTGTTTTGGTCTGGGTTTTTTGTTGTGTTTCTTTATGTGTTTGTTTGTCTTTATTCCTTCACATTCCTGCCTATCCTTCATATTCTTTAGATCTGCAACGGTGCAGTGTCTTTAATCATCACTAATTCCAAAGAAAGGGTAAAACAAAGGTAGTAGACAGAAATAAAAATAACCCACCTGGCACCATTTAAAACCTGTTTTCTTTGTTGCTAGGATGAAATGTTCCTGTGTGCGAGGGAGGTAGCAGAATGCCTGCACCTCACTTAAGCCTTATTGAAGGTCTGTTTTGGGGATGGGGTAGGTAGCAGATGTGCCGCTGGAAGGTCTAAGAGCACAGATCTCCACAGTAATAAACATCTGTCCTCCCGGAAGCTTTCTGCAGGTGACACAGCCTGGCTCTGATCTCTGTGCTCTGCACATAGCAAGGTTGTACAAAGTCTGGGTTTCCTATGCGCTGGCTGTCCCAGGGTCTTGCATGCCACAGCAGCATGACCACCATACCCGCAGCCTCTGAGTTACTGACCGCTGTCTCTCAGGGCTATGAGGTGGGTGGTCGATTGGCGGGCACAGTCAGTCGTTCCTACTGCAGAGCCATGTTTTTGTGGCTCATGGGGCTTGAGACCAAATCGTGACACTACTGAACTGAGTGCAGGCTATGTCCATGGCTTTCAGTGCCATGGCAAATCGGACTTCTAGGTGAAGGAGAGGGAAGCACACAAAGACTTTAGGTGCAGCCAGCAAAATGGTTGCCTAGCTGCCAGATGAGGCCAGCCATCAGATTGCTGCTTGCATGGCCTTGCCTTTTCACGGCAGTGCTTTTCATGTGACACGGTTAAAAATAGTTCTGCAAGGCCAGTGCTGCTCTCTGTGGGATTTCTTTGCTGTTTCGCACTGAGGACTCATGCAGCTGCTCTTAGTACGTGCTGGAGTGCGGGGGGGTCCTGTGCCAAGGAGCTCCCATGGAGTGCCAGGTGGGAGCTCAACTGTGAGGCCAACCTCTAGGAACATCTTTGATCTCTGTTTCTCCCCAGTTGGCACTCATCTCAGCACTTCCCAGTGGCAGCTATTGCAGGACCTCACCTACTTCCCCATCTTGCCTTTCCTGTGCTGCAACATGAGCCTGGGTATCAGCTGGCCTTTGTGGGCAGCAGATCTGTGCTTCCCACCCCTCGTCCACTGCCCAGCCACCCCTCTTTGCTGGGAAGAGCTGCCTTGAGCTTGTAGGGGAAAGAAGCCTCCCCAAGGTGTGACTGTCTCTTGTCTCTCCTCAAGCCCAAAGAGGCAGGAAACCAGACCTTATAACCAGATTGCTTCTCACACTATTATCAGGCTCACAGCTTGGCAATGGTTCACATCTCAGCAGGTACAGCTTAGGCGTGGTGCTTCACAGTGGGATATTTTGGGTGGGCGATTTAGTGTGGTAATTCCACCATTCTCCTTGTGTCCAAGGAGGCAGATCACTGGCTGCAGATGTGCCGTGATGCAAGCAGGTCTTTGAAGTGCTGCTTCACATCAGTGCTGTAATTCAGCCCCAGCACAGACCTTGGCTCCATTGGCAGGAGCCAAAAATGCTCGGAGTGACCCAGAAGAAAGATGTGCACTCTTGGGTTTTGAGCTGGGAGGTCATAAAAAGCGTTTCCCATGACTTCTTGACTCCACATACTGTTGAGGTTGGTTGTACTAACGTCCAGCCCACATGCTGGGTGAGGCAACGTCTCTGGTACCCTTGGCTTAGCAGGGCACATCAGCAACTCTTGCTTGTCTGGTTGGGGGATAAGAGGTGGAGTAATGTGTGCTTATTGCGAAAGCCTCAGTATTGTAGGGGTGGTTTTGTTCTGCTTTGTGACCTCTCCAGTAACTCCAGCTTCGAGCTGGTGCTGATGGCACATTGCCTGGCAAATTCTGATGGGGCAGCCCCAGATAGACTACTTGTTGAAGCAGTTAAACACTGTGGCCAGAACATGATAGCCAAGTAGTATCATACTCCAAAAATAAATTTAGTAGCTTTGAAGGGCATTTAGCACAACTGTTAGCCAGTCTTTATTTGTCGACAGTTGCAAGGAATTGAGTGACCACAGCTTAATGAATTACCATTTGAATTAAGGCCCTGGGAGGGTTGTTAACCCACTGGGAGGGAGAATTCTGATTTAAACCACTCGTGATTTTGTCTCATGCTGGCGGGAGATAAAATGTCCCTGTCACTGCGGCTCAGCTGAGAGGTGACAACTCAGTTGCTTGTAATTGTCTCCCAGTACTCCGACCGAGGGTGTCCAGCCTCCTCCACCAGCAAGTTACAATCTCACTGCGATGACGTGCAGCTTCCCTGGTGCTCAGACATGGCAGCGTGGCCAGGGGCTAGTGCTGCCAACTCTTACAAGCCTTCCTCTCTGCCTAAGCCAAGGACTGGAGTCTCCTACCGTGGCTCTTGATACCGAGTACCTTTTACCACGACACTAAAAGGGCAGCTGGCGAAACATGGTGCTGCTCCCTTCCAGCACAGCCTGCTGGCTGGAGGTTGGGTGGGTGGCTTACAGTGAGGCACTGCGGGCGCGGGCTGTGCTCCGATGTAAAAGCTGGGCTTTTGCCCCACAGCACAGGCTGTGCTCTCTGTCAGATGGGGGTAGCTGGCTCCGAACTTGGACTGGCTTTTCTCCTTTCTTTTTCCCTTCCTTTTTTCCTGCCACTCACCTTTCTTTGATCTGGTGTTAGACCTCTTCATTGAGTCATTTCGAGTTGCTAGTCCAGCAGAAAATGCAGCAGAAAAAAGGGGGAAATCAGATTACTGAGTTGAATCTGCTCACAGATTGAGGTGCAGAGGCGGTGGGGGAGGCAGAGGAAGGTGTTCCCCTGCCAGTATCACAGTCATTAGCCTGGCTCAGCTGCTGCAGCCTTGGAAACCCAACAAAAGGGTATTGCAGACTGAGACCCTTCTGAATCATTTGCAGGCATATTGGTTGCCTTCAGAACCATCTACTGGCTTTTGGGACATTTGCTCAGTGCTACTAAGAGCAAAATTTGGCCTTGAATGTAAGAAAGAGGCAGATTGCCAAAGTAGAGGCCTGCACACAGTGTGAAGGAGTCTGCACCAATGTTGGCGCTGACTTTCCCACGTGGCCTTCTCACGACACCAAACTGAGAGTCAGACATGGGGATTATACGTGGACATCACGGGACTGATCTGGATGCAGCTGCTCACAGCACCTGCGCTTGGATCTGTTCACGTGATTGCACATTTAGCTGGGCAGAGCTGTGGGCACTTGGACGGCTTAGGCTCTGTTTTAGTAGTCACTCATGCATGTATTTATGATATTGTTGGTTTGCACAATGTATATGTATTCTTGCAGGTAGTTGGAACTGAAGTCTTTGATATCTGGGTGTTGCAAACTGCCTGTTCAATTTTTGAAATGTGTATTTATGCAACAAAATGTATTTTTAAGTGCAGGAGAATGAAATACTGTTATGAACTACGTTGTAGACTAAATTACAAGGGATATCTAAAATAACGCTACATACTTTGTTCATTTCCATAGTGCAATAATTCTATGATGGTAGCATCCAGGCTGTTGACGTATGGACAGTCTAACAACAGAAACAGTGTCTCTGTTGCACATTCTCCTTGGTGAAGAATATAAATGCTTTCGAGCTTGTTTTTGTTTTTAGAAGCTGCTGTGCACTGGTATTCAGCCTACAGCACAGCTGGCCTCTTAGAAGGCTGTGTAGAGAATGAAATGCAAGCAGCACGTTGTACTGTTGTGCATGCTTGTCTCAGATGTTTGTGACCAGATCTTGTTCTGCTGTTTGCGCAAGCGATGTGAGGTGGGAAGATGGGGATCAGGAAGAGCAGATGTTCTGTCCAGATCCTGGGCTGCCCTAAGGTCTGAAACAGCCCTAAAGGAAACTGGGATTCCTGTTGCACTAGGCTTCCTCCCTGTCCAGCTCGTATTTGCCCTTTCTTGTCAGCGTGTCTGAGTACATCCTGTAAGTGCATTGACTCTCCTGAGTAGCACACGTGGTGCGTGGGCTCGTCATTCCTCCTGACAATAAGCTGCAAGTGACTGTGATTGACTGGTCTTCCCCATC